ACAAACACCAGCAAGGCTTGCCAGGGTGAGCAGAAACGTATGCAACCAGCCACCTGTTCGAACTCCAACCACCAAACTACCCGTTGATCGCTACGACTCCGCTGATTGGTCGCCGGTCTGGCTGCACCTGCCTCGCCCCCCCCCATACTACCCGATGTCTGGGGTTGCCCCAACATCAGTCTTCAGAATGTTCCGTGCTTTCGTAGCCAGCACACCTCCCAGCTAGACTCTAGAGTGTACTGAGAGAGGTGGTGGCTTTAAGCCAATATTCCAGCACCTCCCACTTAAACTTTTGTGTTGCACTTCTTGTTATTTTGCCTTAACGTAACTTTTCATTGTGTCATTTAAGTATTCTTATTATTTTGATTCATTGATTTTATTATACATATTTGTTTGTGCATTATTTTCATGTTTTGATTTATTTAACGTAATTAAAATTTCATTGTTAAAGTTTACTTGTGTTTTGTGTGTCTTCTCCTTACCTTACCACAGACGAAGTTCCAGTTTTTCTTTTTTTTTTATAACTATGTGACGAGGCCATACCCCTAGCCTTAAACAGCCGAACACCAACGCGTTACCGTCACAATATATATATATATCCTACTCAGCCAGTATTGTAATGAATTGTATAAATTGTTACGATTAAAGGTTCCGACTCTAAATCAAAATCTTTCTTCCTATCTCCAACTTCAGCGTTTTCATTACACTCACAACGAGCCGCGTCTTCATCCTCTCACTGTAGGTTTAATGGCAATAACGATAACTTTTTTTTTTACTCCTAAATGACGCTCCACGGAGGCGGAATTAAGTACAAGATTACAGTGGGAATTACAGACGTTAGAGCTTGCTGTTTTAGCGTGTGTCCTCATTACCGGCTCTAGCCGCGGCCCTTTGGGCGTTTGGGGCCGGGGAAAATATCTTAGGGAAAGACAGGGTGTTCGTACTGTATCTAGGGAGTGTTCGAATTGTGTCTACACTGCATATGAAACTTGGTTTAGCGAGGACTGTGAGTCAATAGTGCAAGTGAAGAACAGTTTTAAACGGTGTAATGCGTCAGAAGAACTTTGACTTAAGTCCGATGAACGTATTAAAGCAGAGACAAGAAGCTGATGTGATCATGAAAAGTCAGTTTTAAGAAGGGAATTACTCGAAGGAATACATATTATAGTGAAATTATTCCAAGAATTAAGTTGTCATTGTAATAGGTATAAAAGGGAACTACAGTGGATACACGAACGACTGTTAAATTATCTGGGAGATGGAACTCGAAAATAATAATGGATAGTAAGAGATAAATAACAATTTTCTAATTAACGACAATCCTTTTTTTTCACGTTTTAATAGTTCGAGGGCCGAATGATCAAAGTCTCGGAACCAAATAATCAATCTGTAGACCGAGTAATCAAAGTCTTAGAACCAAGCAAAGTCTAGCGACCGAATAATTACAGTTCAAAAGCCAAAAAAATCAAAGATCGGAAACAGAATTTAACAAAGTCTGGAGACCGAATTATCCAAGCGGGATTAGAGCCTTGGAACGCAATCACGGGATATAGGTAACTTTCTGGAGATAAATTGAGAGAGAAACCTAACGAATTATCAGATAAGGAGACAAAGTACTTGACGTTGAGAGATAGCGAGAGAGATAGCAAGAGACAGATAGGAAATCGGACATTTAACATCAAAATTCCAAAATTAAGGAAAAATATGTATACTGGTAGAAGTATATATATATATATATATATATATATATATATATATATATATATATATATATATATATATATATATATATATATATATATATATATATATTATATATAGCTTAGCAACAGCAAATTACTACATAAGTACTGCAAAGAATACCCGCTTAATTACAGAGCAAAGTGTACCTGCTTGGGTCCTATAAAGCATACCCACTTGAAGCTGCTGCAAAGTGTACCCACGTAGCTACGACAAAGTATACCCGCACAGCTACTGCAAACAGTACCCGCCGTGCTAAAGAAAAATCTATTCGTACAAGATGTGACGAAAGCTGTTTCCAGAAATGTAAAGCGTTTCTTCACTAACCCGAGACAACTTGCCAAGTTGAAATGGAACTTGATTTGTGATACTCATGTTTTGTAGTGAGGTTCAAGTGAAACTTATTTCAAATAGCGTTTTCTCTAAATAATTGGTCAAATCTGGTTTTAAAAAGACCTCAAGTGTAATGAGTTAGTGAAATTCGTAATGGTAGGTCCGTAGACTTATTTCACTGGGGCTTGTGACTATCCTGTGTAATGGGGATTTTTGCATCACGTAGCTAGTTCTTGACTCACACTCTGTACTCCCTTTCATATAGTCTAGGGCAGCTGCACAAACTCACATGTACTTAAAGGTGTTCATAAAGAATTTTCTAGCTGGCTGGTCATGTTGCATAACATGTTAGAAGTTATACCTCCAAAATAATGTGTGTCATTCATTATCTTCTGCTTTAACGACAGTAAGAACCTCATAAGAGTAATTATTAATAACCTGCTCGCAGCTCAAAATAAAGGGTTTGAAATAACTTTTGTGAGGATTCCATCTCACACAAATATAACTCATCAGGGTGACACAGACATAACTTTTAAATTAGCATGTAACAAGGATGAAGCTGAACTAGTCCTAGGTATTTCCTATCTATGTTGTTAAGACAATATTACCCTAAACATTCAGATCTAAAAGAAGAAGAATCATTCTTTCAAAGACCGGAAAGAATTAGCAATATATTATATGATTAGTTTAAATCCGATGTCCATGTATATGAGCAGCACAAACGTGGCAGGTCATCTGTGGTAGGTGGCTTCAGGTGACTAATCTTCCCAATTATGAACACTTTATGTGCATACTTTTGTGAGCGTGAACTGTGTCATGTGCATACTCTGAGAGCATGATCATCATGTCATGATCTCACACACCAGAATGTCCACACCTTTCAGATCTGCCGGTATGAGGTACCTCGAGTTTTGAAACTATATTTGATTCACTCTCGTGTTCTTGAGGATATTCTCATAATGCACACAAATCTTGCCAGTGCAGACTACTGATCACCTGTAGTCTATGACTAACCCTCGCGCGAGATGGGGAATTTTTTATCTCACATCGCTATCTCTTGACACAAACTATGTAACCTTTCCTAAATCTTCCTTACATCCCTCCCTCATCTCTCCCTCTTCTTCTTTCCTACCTCCTCTTCCTCCCAATCTAGACCTCTTCCCTACCTCCTCCCTATCACCCTCTCCTCACTATCTCCCCCCTTCTCACTGCCTCTCTCCTCCTCCATTCCTTCCCAGCCTTCCTAACTCCCTCTTCCTCTCCCCACCAACAATCGAAAGCATTAGGAAGATTACTATGACCCAGATTAAGCTTCTTAACCCATAATGACTAGAGCCCCGAAAACAATTAAGAATGTTCTCTTCAGGTAAGTCTTAGCAAAGCAATCCTTGTTCAAAGTTCACCATTGATTGTTCACTGTTCGTTGTGGTTCATAGTTTAATGGCGTCCGTTCACAGAGAACAACTAAATCTTCGCTTTTGAGTTTTCCTTCAGTTATGTTAATTAATAAATTAGTTCTTGTTATAATATATTATAAATCTTGTATTGGTTATTATGTTACATGCTAATTAGGTAATTTATTGTGCAATGTCTTATTATGTTATAAAACTAATTATTAATCATTATCTTGCTTTATTATCATTATTATTTGTATTATTTTATTCTGATTAATCCGCATAAGTTTACAGCACTCGTTTTCACTCTCTATATATTATACACACAATATGCAGCCCGTAGCAGTTGTCTAACACACAGGTACCCATTTACTGTTAGGTTAACAGGGGCATCAGATGAAAGAAACTCTGCTTACTTGTTTCTGCCTTTACTGGAAACTGAATTCGAGCCCTAAGACTTCGACCCCAGAGCGCTGTCCACTCGGCCACGAGGCCGTGTGTGTGTGTGTGTGTGTGTGTGTGTGTGTGTGTGTGTGTGTGTGTGTGTGTGTGTGTGTGTGTGTGTGTGTGTGTGTGTGTGTGTGTGTGTGTGTGTGCGTGTGTGTGTGTGTGTGTGTGTGTGTGTGTGTGTGTGTGTATGTGTGTGTGTGTGTGTGTGTGTGTGTGTCTGTGTGTGATTGTGTGTGTGTGTGTGTGTGTGTGTGTGTGTGTGTGTGTGTGTGTGTGTGTGTGTGTGTGTGTGTGTGATTGTGTGTGTGTGTGTGTGTGTGTGCTGACACTAAATAGAGATAGACATAAAGGCAGAATATTCTGCCTTTAAGAATAAAGTATTAAGAATAAAGAAGAAATAAGAATAAAGGCAGAGTGACGTATTTTTCTACGTCACTCTCACCATTGAGTGACGTAGAATAAGAAAAGAACAAATCGACAAACCCAAAAACTGAGAAACATTAAAAAAGGCGTAAAAATAGAAAATCAGGAAAAATAAATGAGAGAGAGAGGGAGGGAAATACTAGACAATTTGTGCCTGATGGACCTCGCTTCACCCTGAGCTATTGGCTCCAACCTGTCACATCCATAGAGAATCAATTATCGTGTCTACATAGTCTCTGTCATTTATATTTATCGGGCCAGACCTGGAGTGCCATATGGCGACCCAATAATGTCCATTTGCCTGTGGTAGTACTGCTCTTCCTCAGATGCATGCCCGATGATCAAAATGGTTTCCTCGAATGTCATCTATTCTCTTCTCCGAGGCGAAGGGTCCTTCTACATTCATGCAGATATGGTACACTTCTATCTCGACTTGAGAATGGTTCAGGACGGACCGAAACGTCGTCGTCCCTTCACCTTCTAGTGTGTGGTCTGGTCAACATACTTTAGCCACGTTATTGTGACTCATCGCCTGCACTTCTATCTCTCTATCTATCTATCTATAATATGACCTGCCTCTAATCTCTAAAATCCCTTACTGAAGAGAAACATCAGCTGATGTAGATTATATCAAATGTCAGTTTAAGCGAGGCGTCCTACCTTGAAGCCCTTGAGGTTATCGACGGAGCAGGGCAGGATGACATTCCTGCCCACTACCACCGTCTTGTTGGGTATGGGCTCCAGGAACTGGGGCAGCGTCTCCTCCGATCCTGCAAGGAAGAGATTATCAAGATTCAGTATCAGATTTAATTTGGGAATGGCAAACCTTTAAATGCATGGTGTTAAGATGGTACCTGTCATCACCTGCCACCCCTTACTACCAGCAGCCATATCCTGCCACCACCAACCACCACTGCAATCATTATCAACCACCTGCTACCACAAACCACCCCTGACACCACCAGCCACGCCCTCCACCGCCAGCTACCCCCTTCAACCAACAATGAGAAATGTAAAGATGCAGGTCGAGGAACGAGGGAATATCTCATGATATGAATATAAACATAATGGTATACTAAAAATACAAAGCTATACACACAAGCTATAAGTATAAGAACGAACATACATACGGATATATGGATTGCACAGCGTTATATCCCAAAGGCCAAGTTGTAAACAAATATATTGGATTATATATAAAAGTATACAGTTATATGTATATGCTCTGGTCTGTATAGTGTGTATAATGATGTATTTACACACTTAAATTGCTTTATGCTATTTAGACCAATGTGCCGAGAACTGGTGCCTGCAGATTACTAAACGCTAAGCTATCCATCAAGATATTTAACTTAATTAATGATTGAACTACAATGACCTTAATGAACTACATTAAGATGTTAGGAATTCCTCTGCTGTTCCGTTCTGTTTCATCTCTCGCTGACCCCTCACACACTGGTCTGCCAGCCTCCCCTTTTCCATCACTCTCCCTCATAAAAAAAATCAAAACTTTCTTCTCTTACCAAGAAAATAAATGGGGAAACAAAAAGGCACATTCCCGTTTCCGAAGGAAGGGACAGAGAGAAGGAGGTGCCGGAGGAAGGGGGGTAGAAGGGAGGGACATAAGAAGGGAAGGCGTGGGGTAAGAAGGAAAGTAACTAACTAGAAGGGTAGAATTCAGGGTGAGAGGAAGTCAAACGAAGGACTGGACAAAGAAGAAGCAAGAAGAGTGAGGAAAATGCTGACTAAGAGAAACAAGGAAAGGGTTAATTAACTGAGGACAGAGTAAATAAATGAAACAGAGTTGGTGCACTAGAAAAGGGCGATAGAAAAGAAGATATTACGACGCCCAGTCAGCTGAGTAAGGGAGAAAGAGAGGGGAAGAGATGGAGAAAGAGGAAAGGAAAGAGAGGAAGAGAGAGATATGGAGCTACAGAGAGAGCTACAGAGTTACAAAGAGACAGATAGACAGACAAAGAAACAGAGAGAAAGATACAGTCAGTATTATAATAGTGTCGGGAAATTTCCCATGAATGATTTCCTGTGTGTAATCCATCTTATTTTCCCCCGGCAGAGCTTCACTTTATTCTGCGGAGCATAAATCAGTTCTTTCTGGAGCATGACTCTAGTCCCCTGGTGACGTATGGCCGTGTTCTATGGTCCCTGTGGACTACTTCTAGTCTTGTTAACCCTCGTGTCTGCGTCTGCTTGAGTGTGTGTCTGTCTGTGTCTCATTATATGCACCTTATTCCCTCCATTTTTTTTCTTTCACTGCTCGCTACATTGTCATTCTTTCCTCATTTTTCTCTTTCTCTTATCTCCGTTTTTGTTTTTTGTTATGCCTTCCAGCTTTTTCGTTTTTCAACCATTTTCAATTCTTCTGTTCCCTCCACTTCTCACCTTTTCTCCCCTTCTAAGTATTCTTCCTTCTTGCCTTCCCAATTCTCATTCCCCTTTTCCACCTCTTCCTCGCTCTGTACCTCTTGGCATTATCTTATTTTCCTGTCCCCCCTCCACATCTCACTCCTTCTAATCCCCTCTCCATAACCTTCCTCCATTCTCTCTGTCCTCTGCATACCCCTCTCCCTCTCTCTCTCTCTCTCTCTCTCTCTCTCTCTCTCTCTCTCTCTCTCTCTCTCTCTCTCTCTCTCTCTCTCTCTCTCCCTCTCCCTCTCTCTCTCTCTCTCTCTCTCTCTCTCTCTCTCTCTCTCTCTCTCTCTCTCTCCTCTCCCCCTCCCCCTCTCTCTGGCACTTCACGTCACCAAGGTCCGGCAGCAACTGCTCCTTCAGGTGACTAATCTCCACAAGAAAGCAACAAGCAAACACTCAAGCAATTTATAATGAGCCAAATGTCTTGCAAAAACTTGATGACAACTGAAGTAACCCAAGAACGTCAACCGGTTTTTGAAGATGAAATCTGGTGGAGTGAATTTCCAAATATAGTTTACCCGGCCACAATACCATAGTTTAAGGAGAATAATAGCAGTTTTCTATATTTTTTTTTTAGGCATAAGGTATTTTAAAGTAGCACCTACAACCTAGGAAGAAAAATTTTGATATATTGTGTGTCTAATATGAAGCAAAATAACCCTCCCCATCTTTTTTTTAATCAACGTAGATATTAATTAGTTATTTAACTTATAAGATCACAGAAGTCCCAAGAATAACAGGGTGTCACTTGGTGAATGTTAGCCGTAGGAGGTATTCTTAAACAAGAATCAGCAAACAAAAAAATAAGAATAATACCAAATTCAATGTTAAACTTTCGTGAAAAATAAAATCAAATTTCTCTGCCGAACTAATAAAGCATAAATAAAACAAAATTGGGGAACATGAGAGGAAGTAAAGAAGTAAGAATAAAGAAAGGATAGATACAGCTAGATAGATATTACACATACAGATAGTGGTGAGGGGCAGGCGGGGAAGAGGTAGGGATGAGAGGGGGAAAGAGCGAGGTAGGGAAGAGACAGATGGGAAAGGGAGGGTACGAGAGAAGATATGATGAAGAAAGGGGTGAGGAAGAAGGGGTGAAGGAGAAAGGGGTGAGAGGAGAATCGAGGGAGACATAGAGGGCCTTCTCTCGTCCTTCAATGCTTCTGTTGGCCACAACATTCATTACATAATTATTTTGACTAGTGTCTGTCAGGCCTCGGCCTCGACCCGCTGGTGTCTGTCAGGCCTCGGCCTCGACCCGCTGGTGTCTGTCAGGCCGAGCTCTTGTCGACTCGACCTAGCTGATAGGAGAATGTCAGTGTGACAGAGGGAAGAATGTCAGTGTAACAGAGGGAAGAATGTCAGTGTGACAGAGGGAAGAATGTCTTTCTTGTACATTTGCTTTCCTCCTTCTTCTCCCCTTCTACATCATTCATCTTATCGTTCTCTTCTTCCTTAGTCTGTCTTCTCCTATTCTTTCCTTCATATTTTCTCCTCTTTTTCCTTTGCATTTTCTCTTGCTATTCCATATAATCCTCTTTCTATCTCATCATATTTCATTATAGAATTTTGCACAATTCCTCCACATTTCCTCCTTCCCCTCCTTTTACACTTCCCCCTTCGGATCCCCCACTCCTTCCTCCCTCATTCCTCCTCCTCTCTTCCTTTCCTCCCTCCCCCCCCCCTCTTCACTTTCCCTATCTTCCCCTCACTACCACCCCCCCCCCTCCATCCTCCAGCTCAGCAGTCACTGGAAGGAAATGAGGCAAATGGATACAGTGTTCTATCTTGTACGTTTTTCCCTGGTTACTGTTTCCGACCCTTTTGAGACTATCTTCCCTTAGCCCTTTCTGACCTTCTCTTGGCTCTTTCTAGTTCCCTCAAGGCTCTTTCTGAACCCCAAACGTACGAATTCTGGACCCCAAAAGACCCTTTTGAGATCCCTTATGACCTAGGTGTACATATTTACTCACAGCTGTACATAGGAACACACACATGTGTACAAAGGAATAAACAAGTTGACACAGAAGCACACAGACAAAGTTTTAATGGTCCTAAGCTCTTAGATTGACTAGAAGGTCTTAGATTCTCTCGAGGATTCGAACCTGGGCGGGTAAGGGTCACCCCCACTAGATATCCAGTACTGTTACCACTTCATCATCGATTGCTTAGGATATCGATGGTGGCTTGGTATTAAAATATTTGTGGCTGCTGTTAGCAGGGCTGAAGATTTTTCCATCCCATAGCTCATGGTAAGCCTTACCACAAGTGTTTCTCCGGAACACAACCCGACAATCGGTTAACGACTAATTACCCAATTACCGATGGGTGAACAGGGGTGAACAATTACGTATTCGCGGTAAATGCTCCTTGGCAAGGACTTGAACCTGGATTAAATTGCTCACAGGTTGAGTTTTTTGCCACTTCTTATTAAAGAAACTACAGACGGACCGGACGTTCCGGTCCGGTCCGAATGTGGTTTATCCGGCCCGGACCGGATATACTACACCATTAAGGTTTCTGAGTGAATGACAAGAAGCCCACTTGCCAGTTTATTGAAATGAATGAGATATACAAACCAGGACAACAAGATTTTAGAGCAGGAAACTCTTATCTTTCACAACTGATTTCTACAACAAAATTATGGAAGGTTTAACAGCAAACCAAAATCCAGACATTGATTACCCAGACTTTACAAAAGCATTTGATAAATGTTTCCATACAATAATAACCCAGATAATTCATAGTAAGAGAATAACAGACACAGCAGGAAAGCAAATTTTACATTTTCTAAAAAATATTTTGCATCTCAGCTCCACAAGGTACAGTACTCGGACCATTGTGGTCTGAGATTGTGGCTATTGTGATTTGTGTGTGTAGTGTAGTGTAGTGTAGTGTAGTAGTGTAGTGTAGTGTAGTGTAGTGTAGTAGTATAGTGTAGAGTAGTGTAGTGTAGTGTAGTGTAGTAGTGTAGTGTAGTGTAGTGTAGTGTAGTGTAGTGTAGTGTAGTGTAGTAGTGTAGTGTAGTGTAGTGCTCGGACCATTGTTTTCGTCATCCTCACAATAACATTGACAGGAACACAAGTCATAGTTTCGTGTCATCCTTTACTAACAGCACCAAAATAGGTTGGAAAGTTGAATACAGTGGAAGACAGAACAGTATAAATCCCTTATCATGCCGCTACCAAACAAGACAAGATGGCAGAGCTAGAAAATATAGAGAAATCGTTTACTGAAGAACCACGTAAAATCACATAAAATGTTCTAACTAGAATGAGGATAGAGCTATATGATAATACACACATGGAAAACATTGGAAGATAGTCCCTCAAATCTTCACAATAAAATTACAATATACTGGAATGATAGAAATGGCAGGAAATACAAAATAAATACAGTGATGAATCAGGGTGCCACTGACGCGATTAGAGAGCAGTGCAAACACCACAAGTCTATGATTCATTAGCAATCATAAGAAATATTACTGTAACAACAGTCGAAACTTACACGAGAAAACTCGACAGGTTTCTGATGGAGTTCGGGTCAGCCTGGCTGTGATAGATAGGAGGCCATATGGGCTACGAATACAGGCTCACTGATCATGTAATCACCAGGAAAGACCTCGTGTAAGACATACCATGGAGGTCTCTCAGGAAGAAAGGAAGGTTGGAAAGCCTTTTGTGAGGATGGCGGTGGGCCCTCCATCCGGGTAAGGATGAAAGTGGGCCGCTTCTCTGTAAGGATGGGAGTGGGCCACCACATGTAAGGAAGGGGGTGAGGGGGTGGGCCGCCCGTGCTAATTGTCCCTTCTCCCTTGAGTCATCAGGAATACTCACCACATTATCTCGGAGTCTCTCAACATGAATATTGATCTGCAAATCTGAAGTGAACTTGTTTTCTAATTGTTCGTAAACTTGAAGCCCAAATCACAGGCTCATATGGAAGTGTTGCGAGATGGTTCGTTAATAATGTCTCTATTTACTGTTCCACTGATTGCTAACCAGGCGAGAGAGAGAGAGACGAAGCAAAGAGATAGACAGAAAGGAGAGGTGAAAATAAAGTAGAGATTGAAACAAGATAAACATACAAAAACACCAGCCACAAATAAAATAGATCCATCTTTAATAAATTAGTCACACAATATATCCCAGCCAAATGAAACCAATCCACCAGGACCCAATACCATCACACAACGCCATCAGAAACTGCACGAAAATCACCAACACCAGCAAGTGAAGCTCGTCTGGGAGCTGTAGAGGATCAGAGCAGCGATGAGAGGGGTTCAAGAGCCTCCTCGAGCCATGAGGACACCTGAGGTCTTGTTACAGCTCCTGATACAGCCGCGTCAGGAGGGCCATCCAGCCAGTGATTGCCTTAAGACAGATGTTGTGGCCGGGACGAACTAAACTGTGCAGTAATTGTGGTAATGGGGAAGTTAGTATGTGTAGAGTTGGTGGTTGGAGTTTCCTGGTAGTTCTTGCCTATCAGTGTCTGCGTGGAGTGAGAGTTTGCTTCTTGGGCTCTGTTCATTGCTGTATTTGCACTTGAAATTGAGATTGCAAGGGGGAGCTTTCTTCACTTCTAATTTGTGTGCCCCATTCACGCGTGGTTTCCTGTTTCTATTCGGTATATTTTTATACTAACTTCCTCCTATGTCTTCTAGTATTATTATCTATCAATTGTAATGACTGTCCATGTCCAGTACCTCCTTTCTCCTCAGTATTATATGTTGTTCATATATCCACCTCTGATTCTTATATCCTTCTTTCAGGTCTTTTGAAATCATCTTTTTTGTACTCTATTTGTTTTAATTACCAGTGCTGCACATTCTAGGAGTGGTCTGATGATGGTTGTAAATTGTAACTAGTGAGTTCTTGCTTAGGATTATGAATTGCATTATTGTCTTTGTCAGCTCCCTGTTTACTGATATGGTATTATTTTTATATGTAAGACTGTGTAGTATTTTGAGAGGCTGAGTAGAACTGTGTTAGAATTTTCGAAGCATAGAAGCTAAGAAGGGAAGCAATGTAAAGCAGTCCAGTTTAGTTCAGTTCAGGTTGTATAGGACTACCTTGCTTGACGTTAGGTTGTGAAGGACTTTGCAGTGACGTGAAAGCAAAAATAAAAGTAACATTCAAGCAGATCGATATTTTACCACGAATGCAAAATTATAACCAAACGAAGAACAGCAAAATATTTGCATTGACAATCGGCTGAATCTCAGACGACCTGATTTTCAGAGAATGTTGAAAAACGACCGATATCATCTTCGGGAATGTAAAATGACATTGCCGAAGAATGTACTGATCGACATCATCAAAAGATAGAATAAGAGGCCAAAAGAGGGCCGTACAAGGCTCAATTTCAATAAATCAAGCGCGCGTGTGTGAGTGAGCGTCCCTTCTTTCTTAATCTGATCAGTCCTCCTCCAGAAGCGACCCCGGATTAAACAAGCGAGAAAAGAGTAAGATCAGTGTCTTGTTGTGTTGAGTTCCCCCACTACGCTCTCCCGGGCTTTACGCTACGTATAAATGGATGGCTTGTAAAAAGAGTGAGTTAATGTTAAATGATTTATATGAGGGATGTCGAGTTCATATGGCTATTAATTTTTAAGTTTTGTGGGCTATGTAATTAATTACTCTTACATAAGGGGTAATTAAGTAGTGAGAGATAAATGGAGAGAGAGAGAGAGAGAGAGAAAGAGAGTCAGAGAGGACGACGTGAGTATTGGATGCGTATCTCTTTAACAATTTCTCTCTCTCTCTCTCTCTCTCTCTCTCTCTCTCTCTCTCTCTCTCTCTCTCTCTCTCTCTCTCTCTCTCTCTCTCTCTCTCTCTCTCTCTCTCTCAGATAAATCAGGAGCATCACTTTAGAGTGGTAATGTGTAGTACAGACCTGAGGTACAGAAGTCAACATGTACCATAGAGCATCAACACCTACAGAGACAAACTTACACACAAAGACGGTCTAACACTGACCCCGTCAGCTACACAGCTTCCACAGTGCATTCAGCAGACGAAGCCTGATATAATTCCCGGTTGTAAACACAAAACGTGATATACCTATGAGAAAAATATTGGAGGCCATACTACGGGATCGAACTTGCGTCTCTGGAGCATTAATGTTGCTTGAACTACTACTGGTAGTAGTCGTAGAAACAGTTCAACATTTTTCCTTCTGTGATCCGGAGAAGAATGTATGTAGGTAGAGTTCTCTATCTTGTTATCCTGATCTCGTCTGTCGTGAAAGGAATTATGGGTTTTGCAGGAATCATTGTTTTAATTTCCAACAGATATTCTCAGTGGAGATCAAAAGTCTCTGATTTCCTGGTTTGGCTATGTACTCTTACCTTCAGATTCTCCCTCGGTCTCAATCTCCCTCTCACTCTCAGTTTCACTCTCAATTTCCTACCATCTTTCACTCTTAATATCTCTCCCTCGCTCTTTTTTCTTTACATTTCACTCTCTCGCTCTTATTCTCAGAAATCTGAAACAAATCAGGTATTTCTTTC